ATGACTAAATATCCATGTACCTAAGAACAGAACCCCAGGGCACCTGGGTGGCTCAGTTTGTGAAGCATCTGCCTTTGGCTTGGGTCATGATCCCGGGGTCCTGGGATTGAGCCCCATGTTGGGCTCCCTGCTCAACAGGGAGTCTGTTTCTCCCTCTCCCTCTGCCCCTCCCCCTGTTCGTGCTCTCTCTCTCTCAAATAAATAAAATCTTAAAAGAAAAAGAACAGAGCTCCAAAATACACAAAGTGAAACGGAAAACCTGAAGAGAGAAATACACAATTCAACAAAAATAGTTGGACACTTAAACATTCCACTTTCAATAATGGATAGAAAATGAGGCAGAAATCAGCAAAGAAACAGAAGACTTAAAGAATACTACAAACTGCCTAGTTGTAGCAGACATCTACAAAACACTTCAGGTCAAACAAGAGCAGAAGACACATTCTTCTCAAGAGCACATAGAACAGTCTTCATAGTAGACCATATGCTAGGTCATAAAACAAACCTCGATAAATTAAAAAGAATTAAAACATACAAAGTACCTTCTTTGACCACAATGAAATTAAATTAGAAGTCAACAACAGAAGAATGTGGGAAAGTCACAGTTATATAAAAGTTAAACATATGCTTAAACAACCAATGTGTCAAAGAAGAAAATACAATGAAAATATAAAATACTTTGAGATGAATGAAAACAAACATAAAAAATACCAAAACTTATGGGGTACAGCTCCACCAGTGCTTAAAAGGGAAATTTATAGCTATGAGTGCATGTATTAAAAAAGGAGAAAAGGGGCGCCTGAGTGGCTCAGTTGGCTAAGCATCTGACTCTTGATTTTGACTCAGGTCATGATCGCAGCCCCGCGTCAGGCTCCCTGCTCGGCGGGGAGCCTGCTTCTCCCTCTGCCCCTCCCCCTCTGCATCTCTCTCTGTCTCAAGTAAATAAGTAAAATCTTCAAAAAAAAGAAATAAAAAGGATTATAAGAAAATACTAAGAAAAAAGGTATGCCAAAAAATAATAAGATGAAATAAATTACTAGGAAGACAGAAACTACCAAGAATACCTTCATGAAGAAATAGAAAAATCTGAACAGATCTACAAGTAAAGAAACTAAATTATTTCAAAAACTTCACACAAAGAAAAGCCAAGCCCAGATAGTTTCACTGGTGAGTTCTACCAAACATCTGAAGAAGAATTAACACCAATCCTTTTCAAATTCTTTCAAAAAACAGAAGAGGAGAGAACATGTCATAATTTATTTTGTGAGTACAGTATTACACTGATACTAAAATGAGAAAGATATCACAGGAAAAGAAACTATTGACCAACATCTCTTTTAAATATGGAGGCAAAATCCTCAGTGTTAGCAAACTGAATCCAACAACATATAGAAAAGTATATACACCATGAGCAAGTGGAATTTATCTCAGGAATGCAAGGTTGGTTTAACATTCAAAAATCAAAGTAATATATCAATATTAAGATCAATGTAATATATCAATAATAAAAGACAAAAACCACGTATTCATCTCAACAGACATAGAAAAATCATTTGAGAAAATCCAACATCCTCTCAAGGTAAAAATACTCAATAAACTAGCAGTAGGGAGGAAATATCCTCAACCTGATAAAGGGCATCTATGAAAAATCCACAACTAACATCATGATTTACAGAAAGATGGAGGGCTTTCTCCTAAAATCATGAATAAGACAAGGATATGTACTCTTACCATATCTATTCAACTTTGTAATGGAGGTTCCAGTTAGTGCAATAATGTAAGAAAAAGAAATAAAAGGCTTCCTTATTGGAAAAGAAGAAGTAAAACTATTTCTACTTGCAGATAGGATGTTATATTTAGAAAGTTCTAAGGAATCGACTAAAAAAACTACAGAACAGATAAGCAAGTTCAGCAAGTTGGCAAGATACAAGATTGATACATAAACCCAATTTTATTTCTATAAGCTTGAATTACAGTTTTATTTCTATAAACTGTTTAAAAATGCTCTTTTTCAAGTTGAGTCAGTTCCCTCTACTCCTAATTTTCTGAGAGTTTTTAATAATGCGTCACTGTTTGTGTCAAATGCTTTTTCTGCATCAACTGATATACATATATGATGCAGAAAGGTTGTCTCTTCAACCTGTTGATGCAGTGGATACCCTGAATGACTTTTGAATATTAAACCAATCTTGCACCTTCTCTCAGCACTGCTTTAGAGGGCCCACAAATTTTTGATATGTTGAGATTTCGTTCAACTCAACGTATTTCCCCCCAAGACAAGCACATCCACTCTTGTCACTTTTATTTAACACAGTATGGAGGCCAGAGCAATAATGCAAGAAAAAGAAGGGAAAGACTTTCATACTAGAAAGGAAAAAGTAAAACTATGTTTATTCAAGGATGACATATTATCTATATAGAACATCTGATTCAATCCACAAAAAAACTTATTAGAAACAGTAAGACAATTTAGCAAGGCTATGGTATACATATCAATATATAAAAATTAATCACATTCTTATATAATGAGGATAAATAACAAAATTAAAATTAAAAACACATTTCCAATAGCATGGAAAAATAGGAAATATTTAGGGATATATCTGATAAAAGAGATAAAAAGGTTGTATACCAAAAACTATAAAACACTACTAAGAAAAATTAAAGAGGACCTAAAAAGGAGGGGGGGGTCAAGATCTACCGCATTCATAGTTCAGAAGACTAGTTAAGATACCAATTCTCCCCCTAATGACCAACAGAGCCATCACAATCTCAACCAAAATCCCATAAGGTTTTTTGTAGAAACTGAAAGCCAATTATGAAGCATATGGAAATGCAAAGGCTCCCCTGTAGCCAAAACACAATTGAAAAAGAAGAAAGAGTTGTCTATCTAACACTACTTAATTTCGAAGAGCAGTAATAAAAACAGTGAAGTAGGAGCTTAAAGCCAGATAAATGGAGCAATGGCACAAAAAAAAAGGTCTGAAAATATACCCACACCCGCAGGACGATTGATTTTTGACAAAGTTGCAAAAGCAAGATAAGATGAAATAAATTACTAAAAAAAATAAGGCAGACAGAAAAGAGTACATACGGGTAACTCCATTTATATGAAGTTAAATCAAATGGCCCTTCAACATCTTTTCTTTGCTCCATCTCTGAGCTAACTGGAACTAATTCCAAAGACACTAATCATTTGTCCCCATTAGATCAGCTGCCATCCTCCTTATGGGCAACATTTCCAACAGATACTGGCAGTGTCCATGGAGCACCTCCCTTCAAGATTCAAACAGATCCTTCCAAATCTCTCCCCAGAACTAATGCCGCATAAATAAATAAATAAAGCAGCCCTTCAAGTTATCAAGTCCATAATAGAAGATTACAAGGTTCAGGGCCTCATTATCTCCTGCACTAGTCCCTGTAATATCTCTAGTTTACCTGTGAGAACACTCAGTGGCTGAGGATGAAGGGTTGTCCAGGATCCCGAGCAATAAATACCACTGCTATCCCTCAGCACCCTGCTGTTCTAACCCCATACATACTGACACCCAACCCCACTGAAACCAAATTCTTCACTGTAACTGACCTATGCAGTGCATTTTCAGTATTCTAGTAGATAAGGATAGCCAAAATCTTTTTGCTTTCCCTTGGGAAGAATTAAAATCCATCTGGACAGTCATGCCCCAGGATTTCTCAGGGTCCTTCTTACTTCTCACAAACCTTAAAAGAGGATTCAGACAACAGAAGGTTTTCTGCAGGCTCTACTTTGTTCCAATATGTGGATCATCTGCTCTTCTGCTCCTCTTCTCAGACCTCTTCACAGGAAGGCAATGTTCATCTGTTAAAACTTTTGCCCTTAAAGGGACATAAAATCTCCAAAGAAAAATTGCAGGTTGTTCAAACTCAGGTTCCATACTTAGGGCCCCTGATCTCGGAACCAGGACTAGATTTGGATCCAGGGAGACTTCAAGGCATCCCGAACATCCCTAAACCTAAAACTAAGCACCAATGACGAGGTTTTCTTGGACTAGCTGACTACTGTCGAAATTGGATCCCAAACTCTCTCTTACGGCTCAACCTCTATATGCTTTACCGAAAATCAACAAACCTGACCCTATTATTTGGAAAGATCAGGATGACAGAGCTTTTGGGACTTTAAGGAAAAGCCTAATAAGGCCCCTGCTCTGGACATCTTAACTATCCACTTCCCTTTCTCCTCTTTGTCTGTGAGAGGGAAGGGAATGCCCTTGGAGTGCTTGCCCCACCGGGGACCATCATCAGCCAGTAGGGCATTACGGCCAACAACCAGACCCTGAATATGGCTCAGGTATATCCCCCTTGCCTCACAGCCATTCCTGCCCCTGCCTCTTAGTTAAGGCCCCTGCAGAAACAGTCACGGGCTCCCCTCTAACCATCCTTGTATTCTGGCCAAAGGGAAAACCGCAGACATTTATACAGATGGCTGGTACAGCTTCCAGTAGCTCGTGACTTTGGAATATTACGGAAACAGCGAGGTTTACCTCCGACGAAGATAAAATGAAAAACGGCTCCTGTGTTCAAAATTCATTACATGTCACACTGTTGTGGCTGCTCAGGCCATTACCAAGTTTCCTGGGTATTCCGGATGCGACTCCCCGGAGGCCAAAGGAAATCACCTCACTGACATTTCTGCCCCAAATGCTGCTGCCAAGGAGGCCAACAGCCAGACCCCTGTCCGGTCCAAAGGGACGTTCTCCCAAATGATATTTGGAAAAATTGACCACAGACCCCAAAAACTGGCCCCTGAAAAGGAAAAAGAGCATTGGAAATCTAATAATTGTTGGTTTGATAAAAAGAGGGAACTCTGGTTTGGACCAAATAACAATCTGCCCACAGAAGTTCCAGAATTCCCAGTACTTACCACTGTACTTGCTTTAAACTGTTGGTCTCCTGACAGAGTGACGGCATTCACGAACCAGTATTGGTGGGGGAAAGGTAACAGGGCCACAGAAAGCGCTTACCTTGCTTGTCCCACCTGTTCAAAGCACAGTCCGGGGAAAACTGCACGGCTCCCAGACTCTGGACTGCCTGCAGGGCCACTCCAGTTTGGCAGATGGATCTCCTGCAGCTTCCCTATCTCGGGGATAGAAACACATTTTAGTCGCGGTCTGTATGTTTGTCATTGGACCGAAGCTTTCCCTTGTAGACAGGCCACTGCTTCTTCTGTGGCTAAAATTCTGTGAGAAAGAGGATCCCTACCTGGGGACCCCTCTCCAACTTCACAGCGATCGGGGAACCCGTTTCACCGGTCAGGTGCTTCGACAAATCTGCACTGTTGGGCGGGTATTAACAACACTTGCACGGTGCACACCATCCTCAGTCCTCAGAGTTAGTCACGCTCACTGACGGCATCACGAAATCTCAATTGGCAACATTTGTAGAGACCATAATATAATTTGGAATTGTCGTATTACTTTTTCTGTTGTGTATAATTATCTTTAAATTTTGCATTTTTTTTTTTTTTAAGTAGGCTCCATGCACAACATGGGGCTTGAACTCACAAACCTGAGATCAGGTCCTGAGACGAATTCACAAACCTGGTATCAGGTCCTGAGATCACAAGTTGGGCGTTCCACCAACTGAGCCATCCAGGCGCCCCAAGTTTTGCATTTTATTGCCTGTCGAACTTTTGCAAAAACGATGTGCCCAATGATTCTAGCTCATGCTTCAAGATGATTTCCCACACTTACAACCTTGAGAAGACAGAGACTTTAGATGGAAAGTACCTGAGAGTTTCTCCCTCCTCACCTTCCTTGTTACTCAACTGTGGCCTTAAGTGCTTTCCAACTGCTAGGCACCTTCCCTCTGACTTGGGACAGGACAACCCGAGAAGTCCTTCCTTGGCACCGAGGGACAAAACCACTAAATACAGAAAACCTGACCCGGGACCAGCGACGCCTTTGGGGAAAGATCTTGATTGATTAAAAGGGGGAAATAAGGGGCACCTGGGTGGCTCAGTTGGTTAAGTGTCTGCCTTTGGCTCAGGTTGAATCCAGCAAGTTGACTATATAAAAAGGGCAATACATCATGATCACATGGGGTTCATTCCAACAATGCAAGACTGATTCAACATCTGTAAATCAATCAGTGTAATTTATCATATTAATGGACTAAATGAGAAAAAGGATTGGGGTGCCTGGGTGGCTCAATCAGTTAAGTGTCTGTCTTCAGCTCAGGTCATGATCCTGGGGACCTGCGATAGAGCCCTGCGCTGGGATCCCTGCTCAGTGGGGAGCCTGCCTCCCCCCTTCTCTGCTGCTCCCCCTGCTTGTGCTCTCTCTCGCTCTCTCTCCTGCTCTCTGTCAAATAAATAAACAAAACCTTTAAAAATAATAATAATAAAAATTTTAAAATAGGATTATATTAATATATGCAGCAGAAAGTTCAACATCCATTCATGAAAAAAAAACTCTCAAAAAACTTAGAAGGGAACTTCCTTAACCTATTAAGACTTTTCAAAAATCACAGCTAACATCATACTAAATAGTGAGGTGTTAAGTTTTCTCCCTAAGATCAGGCATGAGGCAAGGATGTCCTCTCTCAACACTTCTAATTCAACTTATACTAGAAGTCCTAGCTAGTATAATCAGACAAGGAAAATACATAAAAGGTACACAATTGGATAAAAAGAAATAAAACTGTCTTTATTCACAAACAACTGTCTATGCAGAAAACCCCAAAGATCTATCAAATAATTCCTGTACATAGTAAGTGAATATAGCAAAGTTGAAAGGTACATAATCAAGATATAAAAGTCAACTGTTTTCTTTTATACCAGCAATGAATACTTGGAATATGAATTTTAAAAAACAACACATGTATAATAGCATCCCCCAAAATGAAGTTCTTAGGTATAGAGGTAACAAAATATGTACAGGATCGGTGTTCTTGAATTGGAAGACTCCATATAGTAAAGATGTCAATTCTCCCTTAGCTTACTGCAATTCCTATTGAAATCTCAGCCAGCTTTTTGGAAACATACTTAAGCTTATTCTAACATTTATATGAACAAGTAAAGGTATTGGAACAGCCAATTCAATTCTAGAATAGGAGACCTAAGTTGGAGGATTCATACTACCTGATTTCAAGACTTTCTATAAAGCTACAGTAATGACCAGAGAGGGGCAAAAGGACATCCATCAATGGTACATAACAGAGCTTGGAAACAGACCCACAAAAACACAATTTTTGACAAAGGTACAAAGACAACTCAGTAGAGAAAGAACAACCTTTCAAGCGGTGCCAGACATTGGAAGTACATATGCAAGAAACTGAACCTCCCACAAATAGTAACTCAAAATGGGTCACTGACCTACATGTAAAATGCAGACACTATGAAATTTCTAGAAGAAAACACCGGGGGAAATCTGCATGGTCTTGGGTTTGGTGATGAGTTTTAAGTACAAAGCAAAAGCAAATTTATGAAATAAGAAACTTAAGTTGGATTTAATTAAAATGAAAACCTTGAACTCTGTGAAAGCCACTGTGAAGAGGATGAGGATGTAATGCCCTTTTTATATAGTCAACTTGCTGGATTCAACCTGAGCCAAAGGCAGACTGGGAGAAAATATCTGCAAACCCCACGTCTGATAAAGGACATGCACCGAGCATATGCCAAGAACTTTTTTTTTTTTTAAGGTTTTATTTATTTATTTGACACAGAGAGAGAGAGAGCACAAGTAGGCAGAGAGGCAGGCAGAGGGAGAGGGAGAAGCAGACTCTCCACTGAGCAGGGAGCCCGACGCGGGGTTCGATCCCAGGACCCCGGGATCATGACCTGAGCCGAAGGCAGACGCTTAACCCAGGCGCCCCTATGCCAAGAACTTTTAAGGCTGAATAATAAGAAGACAACTCAATTTTTTTAAATTGGCGAAATGAGAGAGAGAGGGGGTGAGGGGAGAGGGCAGGAGTGGGAGGGAGAGCACGGTGGCAGGAAGACAGGTTCCAGGACAGAAAATGATTTAATGTTCGCAGGAGGACTGACTACTACTCTTTCCTGCTCATACATTGATTGGGTAATTAGAGATATTATAGATATCTACATATTGTATTTTTATTTAAGAAAAAAAATGAAAAGGCCAACAGTGTGTATAAATTGTGGTTGCTGTAGTATTTTTCTTGTAGAAAAGAAATTGGTATTAATTTGAATACTTTTGAGTAAGAAATGGTTGAGCCAATTCTAGCATATATATCTCATGGAATGCAAATCAGTTATGTTTCCACCAAGTTAGGTTTACATGTACTGAGCTGGAAAATTGACTATAATACAGTGATAAGTTAAAAAATAAAAGCAAGTTGCAGAGTGATAATTTTAGTCTAGTTACATTTATCTGTAAGAATTTTCAGAATGATAGAAAAATGCATTTATGCATTAGAAGCATAGAAGGAAACTGGCAGCACATGGGTCAATCTGTAACATCAGTTTTAAAAGATTTACATTTGGAGCAAAAAAGGGAGTGTCTGTCTTATTTTATTCCCTTTATACACTTCCGTATTGTTTGAGCTTTACTTTGAAATTAAAAATAAAACCTTGTTATTATATTTTTTAGTTTCTACTGAAACAAAAAAAAAAAATGGGCAAAAGATCTGAACAGATACCTCACTACAGATCTACAAATGAAAATAAGCATATGAAACGATGCTCAGTATAGGGACGCTAGTTAAAACCACAATGATATACCATTATACATCTATTAGAATAGCAAAAAAACCAAAAACACAAGAAAACCTAGCAATATCAAGTGCTCGTGTGGGTGGAGAGCAACAGGAACCCTCTTTCCCTGCTGGTGGGAATCAGTGGAGCACGGTACGGCGTTCAGAAGGCAGCTACAGTGAGGGATACGTGACGTTATCCATTTGTCAAAACCCCTAGAACTATTTTATAGTACAGAGAATAAACCTTAATGCAATATTTTAAAATGCAAGTTAAAAAATCAACTGGGGAGTGGAGAGAAGGGGGATGCAGACTATGACAAAAGAATTTAATTGTATTATGGGACACTTGGGTGGCTCAATGAAGTGTCCAACTCTTGATTTCCGCTCAGGTCAATCTCAGGGTCATGGGATTGAGCCCGAGTCAGGCTCCATATGCAGCATGGAGCCTGCTTCAGATTGTCTCTCTCTGCCCTTCCCCTGCTCACATGTGCATATGCTCTCTCTCTCAAATAAATGAATAAATCTTTAAAAAAAGAACTTAACTGTATTACAAATGTATGACCTAAACTCATGGGGAGGATGGGAGAAAGTGACCTGAGTAAGTTTGAGTGGAAAATGAAAGACGAAACAAAAGGAACTGTACACTCCCACTATAATTGGAAATTCTGTTTCTCATGGAGGTGCTAGTTAATGATTTTGATAGTTCTGTACACATATACTGGGACTGAAAAAATAAGTAAAAACATAGTGAATGGCAGAAGCCAAGTTTCTCACACTGGGAGTGGAAGGTTACAGATAACAGGTAAGTAAAGGGGAAAGGGCTAGAACGAACCATGGGGTTCTGAATTAGAGTCTGAGACATCAGTGGGAACTCCTGTTTAGCTTAATACAGAAACTGATGAGTAAAAGTAAAAATAATAGAGATGTATGCATAAACAGGTAAATAAATACACACACATTTATTTCCTCGCTCTGCTCACTGACAGGACCTAACAGCAATGAGCACATCAGAGCAAATCCTGGGTTTTCATACCACTCTCCAGTAAAAGGATCTGGAGACCCTTACTGAAATGGCTGATTTTAGGGCTGGAAAGAGGGAATATAACCAGATGAGTGTGGAGCATCCTGTAGGACCAAAAAGCAGGGAAGTGCTCAAAACACAAACTGCTGGGAATATGTCAAGGAGATACAGAAACCAAATGAAAGAGCTCCCAATGGCAAAAGCTGGAACAATCTGAGCAACAAAATAGAGTGCAGTTTTCAGCTATTATCTAGTAACAGAAACCTTTGATATGCTCCACAATATAAAATTGTGTCATTGTGCAGGTATGTTTTTTTCAAAGCAGGAGGGCAGAGTATACCAGAAACATAAAAGGAACAAACTGGAGTATGTTTTAGAGGGAAGAGGCCAGGATGCT